TCATCCATAGCAACAAGGTCAACCCCGCCCTCACTATTTTCATAGTGAAAAGCGCTATACAAATAAACTTGAATCGAATTGAATTGAATTCATAAATTTGTACTGATGGTCAACACATCCCTGAAGAACCACAGAGTGAAATCCTTTGTGATTGTAGCTGTCACTCTGGAATTCTTTTGGGGCCTGTATTGGAATGTGAGTGCCATCTATTGCACCGAAGCAATGTGGAAAACCCCATCTGGTCTCAACCTCATATGACTTCCAAAGCAGGATGTGAATTAGATCGTTTGCAAGAAGGTCCACAATGGCCACACAGACCTGATAAAATAATAGAAATGGCAGATAATAAAGTTAATTGCCTATTTCTACTCTGCTATTCTTTAATATTTTTAGGGGCGTTCTTCTTCTTCTGCTCTTGAGTCTATGGCAGCCCATAGAACCACTTGCGGGAAAGTTGTGAGATTAGGCACACTGATAGAGGACAGTCAACCTCAACATCGACCACAACAAATTTGGAGTCTCTAACTCAAACTCTCTAGCGCCACCACTTGTCCAAATTTTCACTCATGTTTATGCTAATAACATTTGAACCATAAGGCACAGAAGGAAAATTCTCTGAATTTTTTTCTCTGAATCCTTGGCTCATGCCGAGTCAAATGAAGTCCACAATTTAAAAATCGTAAGGTTTAGTTTTTTTTCTATTTTAATAATTTGAAAAACATACTTTTTCGAACTCGTCCTAGACGGTTTGTCTGATTTTCACCAAAATTGGCTCAGATCATCTTCAGACAATGCTGGCAAAATGTTTTGAAATTCAAGTTGATTCGTCCAACCGTTCTCGAATAACACGTTAATGAATTCTACGAAAAGCACGCTAAAATGGATGTGAGGCTATATCTCCGCAACGGTTTGGCGAATTGAGACCAAACTTGGTATGTGTTATAAAAAGCATGACCTGAGGCTACCTACAGTGCTTCGGCACAGTGCCACCTAGTGACCAGGAGATATGAAAAATGGCTATTTTTCCTTATAATTTCTGAATGGTTTGACCAAAAATCACAAAACCGGTCTCTTTAGATTCGTAGGAGCCTGCCGAGTCGAACCATACCCATTGTTGGCCATTTTGAATTTTGACGTAAAATGCTATATTTTACGAACGCATTGATGTATCGTTACGTAATTCGGTATGCATCTTCGACACCATGCCCTGATGGTACTCAAAAAGTTGTGGTCAAAAGTTATAATGAAATTTCTAAAAATGCTAATAACTTTTGTTTACATTAGCCTATAGTAATGAGACTGATGTTGATAGATTTCTTGGCTCATGCCGAAAACATTGATACCAATTATGCCAAAATTGGCCAAACTTCGTATCCGCCATTTTGATTCATGTTGAAAACCTACTTTTTCAAACTCCTCCTAGACTTTGTGTCTGCTTTTCACCAAATTTGACTCGGATCATCTTCAAACCAAGCTGGCAAAAAGTTATGGATTTTGTGTCGATATACGAAACGGTTTTCGTTTAGCGCATCAGACCAAGCTGGCAAAAAGTTATGGATTTCGTGTCGATATACAAAAAGATTTTCGTTTAGCGCATCAACAAATTTGCTGGAAAGATGCCAAACTGCATCTGAGGCTGTATCTCTGCAAAGCTTTGACATATTGACACCAAAGTTTGTATGTGCCATTGTCACCTCACACTGACCACACCACATCAATTTGGTAACAGCGCCACCTATTGGTCAAAAGCGATAAGCCAATAAATTATATTACTAGTGGTTGTATTTATGATTTTTCTGCCATTTTGACTAAAATCATCTTAAAATGGTTTTAATTGCTCTTTGCTGCAGTTGGTCTGACGTTTGCTTCTGTAGTGCTTGGCCCCCGTAATTGCTGCTTGCAGCTATATTCTTTCTCTATTATCTCAACTTTATTACTTAATCGGAGTATGAAAACTTATTAGAAAGGTAACATTTTTAAGTGAGGTTTCATTTGTTAACATTAGTTAATGTATTTAGTAACAGGAACTTGCTGAGCAGTACAACAGTATTTATTAATTGATTTTTATTAATGTTAGTTTATGGAAATGCATTGTTTTTTCATATTAGTTCACAGTGCATCAACTAATTTTAACAAATGTATTAGTAAATTTTGAAATTGACATTAACAAAGAAAGATTAAAGGGTTCATATGATGCAATTAAAATGTTTCCTTTCTCTTTGGAGTGTTACAAGCTCTTGGTGCATAAAGAAGATCTGTAAAGTTGCAAAGACTAGTGGAAAATAATGTGTTTTTTTAACCTTAAACTGCATAAACACATTTCATTACACCAAATACACAAAATAATGTTCTTTTTAGCAACATCATATGACCCCTTTAATAAATGCTGTAGAACAGGGCTATTCAACTGGCGGCCCGTGGGCCAAATCCGACCTGCCAATCATCTACATCCAGCCCGAGGGAGAAGTAAGCGCAGGTCACACATATGACTTGAATTGTTGTCCACAAGGTGAAAATAAGAAAAGAAAGAGACGCAACAACAACAACAATCTACGGGGACTGCAACATCAATAGACAGCAGCGTTGACAAGCGTTTATGAGGTAGTTATGACATATCCACAACTCTAGTTTAAAGAGTATAAAGAAAGAGTTTAACGGTCATAACTTCTGGTGAGAAATATTGCACACTGGACGAAAATTATTATCAAATGAAGTATAATTTGAAAGGCTGCGTGTTCGGCTGTACACATACGCTGAGCCGCTTAGCGCGCCAGTAGCGCTTTTGACAAAAGCACATACAATTATGTCAAAATGCGTGGTTTTGGCGAGTTACCTCGTAAACGTAGTCTTAAATGAGTTACAAAGTCCTAAATGACCGTAAAGAGTGTAGAGAAAATCAGAAGTGCATCAGGTTTTAAAGAGACAGTGCTGCTTTTAAAGTGAAACTTGCTGAAGTCTGTCATGGCTTTCAATTACACTGTAATGTTGAATAGCTATAATTAATAGGTAAAATTGAGGGAAAATGCATTTAATAGAGACACCAGTAGCAGTATCGGTATCAATACTTTATTAATAATAGGCAACATAGTAAAAAGATGCCATTAAACACGTATTTTAAATATACCATCTTTATGTTGTTTCTACATTAATTTGGAGGTTCAATGTGAAATTATGACAATATAAATATGCGATTAATCATGATTAATTACAGAAAAATTTGTGATTATTATTATTTTTTTTAATTGATTAACAGACAGCACTCTGTTAACCTTTTATAGATCTTGGTGTTTGGTAATATTAGTTCAATTTACTGCTGAATATGCATTTCAATTTAATTTCCAATTTTTTAGGCCTCCCCAGAAAGAGATCGGGACGGCCCCACACCCTTGGCCCCCTTCAAATTTTCAGTTTGATCATCTGGCCCTCAAATGAAGCTAGTTGAATAGCCCGGCTGTAGAAGTACACTTCTCTTAAGTCACGGTTTAAAGCAAGTACACAACCAGTTTGAAAGGTCTGACCGAACACACTAACAGAGTGAGAAACATGAACAGTGCTACATGTGTCAAGTTCATAGCCAAAGTATTTCATGCTTTCAACAAACAGAACACTTTTTTCCAAAGATCCAACCATGACTGGAAAAACATTTGGGACAGTAATTTTTTCTGGTAATGGACTGCCCAATTTCCAATGAAGCATAGTCTGAACCTGACTCTTGTAGGCTAATGTCTTATATTTATTTTTACTTTACTTTTACTTTTAGTCATTTAGCAGACGCTTTTATCCAAATCGACTTACAAATAAGAAAAAGTAATTAAAACTAAAAGCTAAAACTCTATAAATACTATATCCCTGCAGTATGTAGAAAAGCCTAAAAAACTAAAGGAAAAGAAAAAAGTACAATATTGTTATTGCTTTCTATCATCTAGCAAGTCCATTGTGCACTGACCTCTACTTTGTTTTTAACATTAGTTAAATTGGTATGGCTAAGATGATATGGATGATATATTTTGACATGTCTCACCATCTAAAACACCAGTATAGGTGACAAGTTTGGCATCTGCTGTTATGAGCAGTGGCTCAGTAAGTTGCCCGGCACACTCCACGCATGATGTTTCTTTTGGTATCAACTGCCTTGGAAGATCTTGCAAAGATTTGGAACCAGTGACCAAATGTTGGGGTAGTTGGGCAGGAAGAGCTTTTTTTCCCCATTAAATAGTGAACCATCCTACGAAGGCCTGCATCATCAGGAGGATATGCTTGTCCTTCATCTTCACCTGGTTTTGCTTTGGATACAGAATCTGTCTCTTGATTATTCACAACTGGATCTGGCCTGATATCACTCGCTTCAGTCATGAACAGATGTCGGTCAGTACTAAAAAGATGCTATTTTGCAACTGATTTATGAAGACATGACTGTCTTGCTTTGGCACATGGACAGTGCCAGGACTTCTTTTTTGAATCATATGCTGCTATTACTCTACCCAGTCTGCTGTGGTATGACACTTTTGGCTCATATATTGAAATGAACTTTTTGGATGGAGGCCCTCCAACAGTCACCTCAACAGAAAGTGGAACACCTGCATCAGTAGCTGCCTTTTGTTGGTTTAAGCAGCTCTGCTTCCTTGCATCCCCAAAAAACCTACAAGTAACCATTTCTGTCAGTATCTCCTCATCTAAAATGATGGGTGTAGTGCCTGAGCGGGGACAGAAGAGCAATGACTTAAGATGAATGCATTCATAAGGAACAATTCCACTCCTCACTGCAAATTCAGCATTTGTGTTGAATTCATCCAATTCACAGGTTATTTTTTGGCTTGCACCCCATGTTTTTTTTAACATGTATAGGAGAGCATGGCTTAAAGAATGACTTATCAACAGCAAAGATGCCATTTTTGGCATCAATGCATTGGCATGATAGATGCCGCTTTGCTGTAATATCTGCTACCCTTTGCCTGTGTCTTCGGTTGATATGAACCAGCAAGTGCCTTTGATTTATTTTAATGCCACAGTGTGTGCAAGTCACCCTGACTTGCTGCCGGACACGTACTCTTTTTGTTGACAATGATGCTGGGGATGGAGGTGGTGCTGCTGATGCTGGGGATGGAGGTGGTGCTGCTGATGCTGGGGATGGAGGTGGTGCTGCTGATGCTGGGGATGGAGGTGGTGCTGCTGATGCTGGGGATGGAGGTGGTGCTGCTGATGCTGGGGATGGAGGTGGTGCTGCTGATGCTGGGGATGGAGGTGGTGCTGCTGATGCTGGAGATGGAGGTGGTGCTGCTGATGCTGGAGATGGAGGTGGTGCTGCTGATGCTGGAGATGGAGGTGGTGCTGCTGATGCTGGAGATGGAGGTGGTGCTGCTGATGCTGGGGATGGAGGTGGTGCTGCTGATGCTGGAGATGGAGGTGGTGCTGCTGATGCTGGAGATGGAGGTGGTGCTGCTGATGCTGGGGATGGAGGTTGTCCAGATGCTGAATTTTTACACATTTTAAAATGTGTAATAAGACTATCACGTCTAATTACTGTTGATGTACAGTAACAGCAGTGGAAATGTGGTGATTGCCTGCACTTTAAACCACACTTGATGATGATAAAATCTAAAATGTAAAAAGAATAAATTAGCACAATTGCCTTTTGTTTAATACAGTGCATCGCCTATGCTGAGGTTTTGTGATGTAACACCTTGCTCAAGAGCACAACAACATTAAGATCCTTTTTTATATTTTTTACCACACTCCCACCAAACACTAAGGCCAGTGTGAGTGAAGGTTTTGTTCTGTCCAAACAGAACACATGTAATTCAACCAAATAAAGCCCTGATTAAAAACTATTAGCTGAACATGCTACTACATGCTGGAACAAATGCCTGACAGACTCTACATCAGCCCTTGCAGGCTGATTGCCATGTAAAGAGTTTTTATATACTTGTTTTTAATATTTACAGTGATCCAAATTAAGTAATGTAATGCAAAAAAACTATAACAACAACAACAACAAAAAACTTAAGTGAAGTATGTGAAATTCAGACTTCCTAAAGGTTTCACAACACAAGAACATATTAAATGAACAATATATTTTTAGTTTAAAATGCTAGGAAGAAATGACTATGACATGCAAAAACATTAAAATTCAACAAGCATTCTCACACCCACAGTACTATAATTAAAATAATTCACACACAGACACACACACAAACATACCTTCTTCTTGAACTGCATTTCGCGTACCTTACTAGTCTTCTACCACGCTACAATCCATCACGCTCCCTAAGGTCGCAAAACTCTGGACTTTTGGTAGTACCTAGGATAGCAAAGTCCACTAAAGGAGGTAGAGCTTTTTCGCATTTGGCTCCCAAACTTTGGAATAGCCTTCCTGATAATGTTCGGGGTTCAGACACACTCTCTCTGTTTAAATCTAGATTAAAGACACATCTCTTTGGCCAAGCATTCAAATAATGCATCTCATAATCTTGTACTGCAGTTATATCTGATCAAATGCACGTTATTATTCTTTAGTTTGGGTTAAACAAATCAATTTTGCTTGGTTGGAACAGCAGCTACGCTAATTATGTCTCTATTTGTTTCTCTGTTTCTGCTGGGCTGTTTTTGCCACGGGATGTATGATTTACACAAGCTTCAGTCTGGATCCAGAACACCTGAGAAGAGATGATGCCAACCCCTCAGAGGACCTCAGATGATGCCAACCCTGAAACAACATACAGAACTACCACATTTTGCTATTAGTTTGATTGCATCATATAATAATTGCTGTTAATAGTGTTCATCGTCTGTTTTATTACGTCTTTAATTGATTTTTCCGTACATTTCTGCCATATGTACATTGACTGACAGTCACCACTGATAAGCTACCACTAAATATTGTAGAAACTTAATTTGCTGTAAAGTTGCTTTGCAATGATTTGTATCGTGAAAAGCGCTGTACAAATAAACTTGAATTGAATTACAGTATTTATATCTGTCTGCTATATTTAATCTGCTCTCCGCTTTTGTTTTTTGGCTTGTGTTTAATGTTACACGCATTTTTGTTCCTTTGTAGTTAACAACAACGACAACAATAATAATAACAATAATAAATGAATCAATAAATAAAAATGTGCATTGCCCTGATTTTTAGTCCTTGCTGCTCCAGGAACCACCCACTCCCGCTTGGAAACCAATCAGATGTTTAAACATCTTTCGGCGTCCTCATCATTATCCCGCCCCCTCATGTACAGCGCTCAATTTCATTTCGTGCGACCTCGTGGATTGTCGAAGCTGTCAATCATCAGAACACAAAAGTAAGTATTTAGAAAAAAAAATAGGCCAAAATAAAATAAAATAAAAATATAAAATAAAAAAGTATCAGTTCATGTTAATCCAAATTATTGTAAATGCAAGTGCTAAAAGCTTCCGATATCTAATGCGTGTCAAGCGGTCAGCATCAAACGTTATTCTCTAATAGTAATAATAATAATAATAAATTAATAAATAAATAATTTGTTGTTGTAGTCTTTGTTGTCAATCATCAGAATACACAAGTAATTAGCAAAAAACGAAAAAAAAAAGAATCAGTTCTTGCTAACTCAAATTATTGTAAATGCAAGTAATCAAACGTTATTCTCTTAACCCTTGTGTTGTGTTCAGAACCCTATCACACTTACGAGTTTACAGAGCAAAAAGGACCCGGCCTCATAAAATTGCTTATAAATCACTCATTATGCTATATTATCACCAAAAATTGGATTCAATCTTTTTGTCAACTTCTTTTCTTTCATTTAGGACTGGTTTTTGTATTTATATTTGCTTCGGATTAATTGTAGGCCTCATTTATCTGAGAGTAGGCACCTAATTTTTGAAGTGAAAAAAGCATTATTTATGAATAATTTTCGCAATATTAAATAGAATGCGATAACATTAACTAGTATTTTCGGGAAAAATAAATTTTTTTCAGAGCAAAAAGGACCCGAACACCACATGAGGGTTAAGTGAGCATGCACATGTAGGCCCAAACGCATTATAATCATTTCTCATTAAATGTTTTAGGCTAACATTTCTTGTGAGATTGTAGGATTTCGTCATGTGAAAGTTGATGTGTGTGAAAGTCTTATCTGTAGTGCATCAATTTCCAAACACTGTCCGTAGCTGAAGTTGGCTGATAGCAAATGAATAATCCAACCTCTTGTAATGAAAACACGCCACAGCTCACAAACACCAGACTCTTCCTAACCAGGAACAATCAAAAATAGTCCAGACTATGGTCTCACGTCAAAAATAACTTTAAATCCATATTCAAACTGGACCATGATGTGGTGTCCTCGCCAATAAAGAGTCCTTCTAAAATGCATAATTTTAGAAGGACTCTTTATTGGTGAGGACACCACATCATGGTCCAGTTTGAATGTCTTAAACTCTTAGCATCAATCCAAACATAGGCCATACATACATGTACCATCTCTGCAAAATACATCAGCAATGTACACTTTTAAATAGAAAAAAAAAACTCCTTTAGACTGGCCTTGAAATGACACATTTACCAACCAGAACACAGCACAATGTGTTCAGCGGGTGAGCCATGCTGGCTACTGCTGCATGCTATTGCTAACTCTCTCTACCACATGGCTTTACTTAAGGAAACCTAAAACACCCTAGCATCCCTAGTGGTAAGGAAGAAAACTGCCCACAAAATTCTTATTAACTGGCTCATGTCTGGCCCACACTGAGCCATCATTGGATTAATGTGGGCAGTCCCATAGTGTGGGCTGCTCACAGAGAGCCTGCGGTGAGCCCAAAGCTGTGGGCCTCTCCTGGGCAAGCCCGCACCGGGCCTGTTTAGGTTTGGTGTGGGCTGGCCCTAGCCCACTGTGCCCGCAAAAAGCCAGCGTGGGCCCCGCAAGGACATGTTTGCAGTGATATTTGTTCTTTAGATGTCCCTTCACAATATCATTTTGAACTGAGATTTCAATTTAGATTTTTACATCCTATAATATGACATTACGGAAGAAATGGTCCTGTTTCAGTTGTGTAACGCTGGCTCTGCTCTGTTAAATAATGCTGTTCAAATCCTGTGCTTGCTTGGAAAAGGTCATATTCACAAGTGTAAAGTTACAGCTATTAAATCAGATTTTATTGTATTTTGCTCTGAATTAAAACATTTAGCTGATTCCCTGTGTAAATTAAAAAGAAACACAAAAGCAGCTAAACCATCCCAGATTTTAAATAAGATTATTGAATCATCTGTGAACAAAGATACAATGTTTAGATGAGGTTTCCTACCCCCTACTCGAGTCAAAACTAAAAGTAAACACATTTTGTTTTACTATTATTATGTATCTATGTATTATCATTATTTCGTTTTTTATATAATTGTTATTGTACTTTATTTTTTTATCTTGTTTGTTTTATTTATTTTATGTTTAACTTGTTAATACTCTCAATCCCTCGCAACAGGTTTCTTGTTCTTATTCATTGTTAAAATCCAACTATCACTGTACCTTAACAGTATGATTTCAAATTTCAAATGTTACTTGCAAAATGTAAATAAAAAAATAAATTCTCACAGGCCTGTCGCCCAGCTTCACGCATGAGCATGACGAAAACTTGTTACGTCACTATGAATTACAGGCTTTTTAAGACAAACAGAGACTTAGAAGCAACGTCACGCGGCTAAGCGTAACCTTTTAATGTAATAAAAAGTTCAAAAATCGGCACATCCTTCATCAGCTCCCCGCTGCTCCTCTCCTTTCTCTCTCTCTCTCTCCCTGCTACTCGTCACACACACCAGAGGAAAAAATGGCGGCGCTCGTGTCAAATTTCTAAATAAAGCTTTCGCGAAAAAGAAATGGTAGATCCCCTACATGTTTGAAGCGTCATATTAGATTAGATTCAACTTTATTGTCATTGTGCAGAGTACAAGTACAAACCCAATGAAATGTAGTTAGCATCTAACCAGAAGTGCAAATAAGTTAACAAAGTATATAAATAGATATATATATCAAGTACAAAGTATTTATGTATGCATTAAGCTTTATGACAACTAGTGCAAGTTATGAGGTAGAAGGGTAGAGACCTGCTCAATGCAAATAACTGTAATTACAGCGTAGGCTGCAGAGGAAGTATAAACAGAAGGTGCATTATACAGTGTGTGAAATAGTATATGTTTATATATGGTCAATGACCACAGTGCAAATGGCATCAGGAGGTAGAAATGTGAAATATTATCATGGGTACAGTGTTTGATCCGCTAAACAGATGAGTACTTTGTGGAAAGAAACATAAATGCGGTCAAGGTCAAGGTAAATTTGCCCGTAGATAAACATAGTAAATCTGATAAAATGCCATTTACTTCAGAAAGATGCCAGCATCACAATGTTATTTTTACACAGAGATTGGTAGCTCTATTAGTAAAATATGTTGAGTTTAGCAATCTTTGTTGCATTATGTGCCAATGGTGACCATTCAAAAATGGAGAAAGAGCACTTTTCAAGTTTTTTTCTCCAAAGTTTGCAGACCTGTAACTCAAAAATGATTAACCCTTAAGCTCTCCTTGGGGTCCAGCTGACCTCACTGGACTTTCCCTTCATTTTTAAAAAATGTTCCCTTCATCTCAAGGGCATGAGACTCTGTGACATTTCCTAAATAATCTATCTAAAAACAAAAACATCAATGCATTAAAACA